AGCACAGGAGGCTGAGGGGAGCCCTTATCGCTCCCTACAACTGCCTGACAGGAGGGGGGAGTCGGGGGGGGGGGTCAGGCTCTGCTCCCAAGTAACAAGAGATAGGATGAGGGAAAAAGGCCTCAAGTTGTGCCAGGGCAGGTTTACATTGGATATTGGGAAAAAATTCCCCGAAGGGGTTGTCAGGCACTGGAAGGGGCTGCCCAGGGAAGTGGTCGAGTCCCCAACCCTGGAGGGATTTAAAAGCTGGGCAGATGAGGTGCTTAGGGAAATGGCTTAGTGGTGGACAGGTAAAGTTGGACTCGATGATCTTAAAGGTCTTTTCCAACCAAACGATTCTGTGATTCTCATCTCCCATGTAGTGCAAGCTGAGCTTTTGACCTTTGTGTAACGATGCAGTGCTTAGTCTCACAGTCAAAAAAAGGTGGCTTCTATTCCAAACTAGTTAACTCTGACTCATACTTCTCGTAGAAACAAAATTCTTTCTCCCCAACTGCACAAGATCTGGCAGTAGAAAGATCTCTAACAAGACACCCACATAGTTCAGCAGATGTGATCTCTCAGCAAAAGGACATTCCTTTTTGCTTTTTAACGTAAATGCTTCTTGTGGGGAATACTCTTAAATTGCCCATTTTACTTTGTCCTCTGCTGCGGGGCTCGCCGAATGGGAGCTGCTGATCCCTTATTTCCAGCATTTAGAGAACCAGCCATTCTTGATGTTGGTACAGACAGCATACGAATTAGTACAGCTTTTCTTGGAAAGTAAGGGAAAAATCAAACACTTCTTGTTTAAAGCTTTAACCCCTTGAGAGGAAGGCTGCCTATGCAGGGAACAAAAGCAGGCAGATAGGAATGTTTACCAGCTTTAAAAGCTGCCTTCCATTTTAATGAAACAACAAAAAAATTACTTCTATCTACAAAGGAGGAAGAAGTGTAATTCAGCTCTGAAACAGGGCTAAAACGTCTGATGCTGATGATTCACGTAACTGACTTCAAGTTGGATAAATGTTTCAGTTGTTTAGCAAGGCTTCAGCCCATGCTGGGACAACAGGAAAGGCCTACAGGTCAAATTTAACTGCTTGCTGTCTTTGCACGTTCTCTTTATACTCAGAGTCAAAACCAAAAACCAAAGCAAAAGAAGATCCAGTTTTTGAATCAGAATTTAATGGTTCTGTCCCAGGTGCATCAGACAGGGAACAGCATTCTGCTCTTTCCTCAACCAATTCAATACTTCCTTATTAAAAATTTTTTAAAATGACAGAATCAGTTGTTAAACCAATAGGAAAAAATCTGATTATCAGGAATCAGACTGAGTACAAAGACAGTCACCTCTTCAGTATAAAACTGTACTTTAACTAGCATATAGGAGTGATATAAGACCTTTGAAAATGCCCATGCCAAGTATATACGAAAAAATCCATTGCACTTACACATATTAGAGCAGGACCCGTGCCCCAGTGCTCTCCCTTGAGATCGGAGAAGACCGAGCTATGTTGTAACTTGTGGATAAGCAGCCAGCCAGCTGAAATAACTGGTATTCCTCTACGCAAAACTGAATTCTCAGGTTTTAGCTATAGGAGTCTAAGCTTTAAAAATCTCAGAATGCCCAAGCTAATCCAGTCATCACTTTTACAATAATTATAGAGAAAATGTTGTGATTAGCAGCAGCAATAAAGAGGAAAACTTCAAAAGATTTTCTTTAGCACTGCATTTTAGAGATAATGTGCTTTACTTTAATATACAGTTAAAATGTCAAGGAAATCCAAAGTATGGAAGAGTTTAATTCAATACCAGCTCAACATATTTTGGCAATGTAAAATTCACTGCTGGCATAACTGTTCAGCAGAACCATTTTTACAGGAAAACATCTTTCATCTACTCATAAAAAGCCTGAGGTTGATGCAACATTGCAAACCTTCCTAAACTTCGTTCTTGTAGGTGAGTACCCATTATAAAAAGCATTCACTGTAATAAAAAGGAGATGTCGAAATACCCTGCGCTGCACAGCAAGCTTTGTAGGACTGGATAGAACACATCAGCCTCCCCAGTTGAAGCTGCAGGAGCGCTCAGCGGCTCAGCTCGCTCCTTAACGATGTGCTACATACACGACTGCCGGGAAATGGGAAAGCGCCATCGCGTATTAAGAACAAATGCGCGGTACTGAACGAATACTCAGAGACAGTAAAAACCAGAATCAGCATATAGAATCAATGGGCTCTTAAGCACGGAGCTTAATTCCCACCAGCAGAACTTGGAGCAATACAAGCACAAGTCAAAAAGCAGAGCTGCAGTATTTAAGTGGCCTAAGGAGAAGAACCGGATTCTCACAGAACACAGCAAGGGGAACAATCCAGGGAAAATGGTCAGCATGCACCATTTCTGGGCCTCCCAAGAAGGCCACTGAATAATTTTTTGAAAGGTTGGATGTTACAGTAATCAAATCTCTCCAATATGAATACTGGGGGGGGGGTTGAGATGAAAGTTGAGAATGTGTATTTTATATGAAAACACCATTAAATTATTCACTTTACAGGAAAAAATGCTAGCAGCAATTTAAAAAAACCAAAAAGCCAAGAGGCTTTATTTCAAGAAAACCAATTAAGATCATATTATTTAAAAACTTTGTCAAACAAAGTCATTACACGTTAAGGTCTTCAAAAGAGTTTGGACAGGCAGGATCCATTTTCTGAACTTCCAGCTTAAAACCACGGGAGTATGCATATGTTTAACATCACATACACATGTGCATAAATGGACACAGCTTTGCATTTTGTGTGTACACTTTAAAGCAAAACACGCTTGACAAAATGTGGAGCTATACAGACTATACAATTTACACAGCTGGGTGTCATTCCAACCCCAAATATTACCATTTGCTAGAAAACAAACTTTTACTTTGTACAAGACTTTGACATGAGTAAGTTTACCCCTCGCTCAGGAGGCTGAAACCGAACAATAAGCTAAACAGTCAAAAGACTTTATTTCAACTTGTACAAAAGGCATTAAAAAACCTAAAATACGTGCTTTACCAAATATATTACATCATACAAGTCAGTGTGGTATACTTGATAAATCCAGCTTAACTTCACCCACTTTTAATGGCATATTTAGTCAAAATGTAAAACTGACTACACTGGAAAACACTTATCTTAAAATAAATTTCCAAGTGCATTAATTACCTAAAAAATATAAATTGCTCTAGCCAAAAAAAAAATATATATATATATTACCGAGTGAAATAAGGAGCTCCCATTCAGAAAAACATTCTGTGTTCTGTGTAAGCATCATGTGGCATTTAATCTGATTCTCTCAACCAGGCATGGTACCCCAGGCAGCGTGAGGCATTTTTCTGTCTGCTTGGCAGATGGATTCCTTTTTAGGATGGCTAAATTGTTAGTTGCTCAAAACAAAGTTTAATTTCACAATTGGTGATTTAGCTAGAGATGTCAAAACACACATGGGAACTGCCAACAAGGAAATACACCCCATCTACTGAAGCTCTTTTTGGCCTCATCATGGTAATATCAGACACAGAGTAAGGCATGTAGATCATAGCAATTACAAGTCACTCACAATCCTTTTGTGATGGGAAAAGCATTTCACCCTCCTCTCTGTGTTACCTGCCACAATTTCTTTTCACATGGCTTTTGTTAGACATCACACGGAGGTGTGCACCGGTGTGGCTGAATGAGAAGGAGATGAACCTCGATCAGAGGAGGAAGAAATGGATCGCGTAGCAGCTTCCCGCTGCAAATCTTCAACCTTCTTCTGAAGCTCCGTCCGGATGGCGAGGAGCTCTCTCAGGTTTTGATGGATTGGAACCTGCCGGGTGAAGAAAGAAAAGGCTTACTTTGACTCGTACAGCGAGTTACCTTCCCAGGCAATGCTTCCACTGTTCCCTTCAGCCACACGATGAATCCAACACCTATGAATTTCAGTACATCAATATTTAGGGAAAGTGTTTCTTTAGTCACTTGAATGAAACATTTCAGCAAACTGTCCCTTTCTAACACCATGGCTGGCAAGAAACCTACTCAAAAGTCTGTTTGCAAATGGTCTTGATGGGATAGCAAGCATATTCCAATAAATGTGTCCCTATCCCTTATCAATACCCCTTTCAGTTAAACATAAAATGCCTTTTTCCCAGGAACTATTTCCCCGGCCTGTTGGGACAGAACTTATTTTGTAAAGAGAGTAGAGTTCACAAAGCTGGCTCCATACGGAGCATCTTGTTACTCTTCTAACCAGGCATCTTTCCAAGAGTCTGACCCCTTCCAGCTTGTCAGTGAGAAAAGTGCAGCAGCCAAGTGAGTTGTGCTTGTGGAGGACCTCCCGGAGCCACACTCGGATAAACCTTTCCTAGAAATGGATCAGGTTTCTGCCTCTACTTCTGACAGTGCCCGAAAAACACCAGAGATGCACCACTCTGCAACAGACTTCTAGGCATTTTTCATGCTTATCTGGAACATTCAACTGTATCAACTGCCAAAGGGAGATGCAAGCCACACTGGTTTTTTGCAGCTGGATCTGTCACCTCAGACAAGCACAGAGACCTCCCCTTCTTCCAAATGCCACAGAAAGGCCAAAAAAGTTTGACTGTAAATTGCTTTTAATTTATTTTATCCTGTATAAACTCTAATTGTTTACAGCTTTTGGAAAGAGCAAGATGGGAAAACAATTTAATTGGGCTAGCAAGACAATCAGGGGGAAACGCAGCAATGGGAAACCTATGGATTGCTAGAGGTTGGAAGTAATTTATACCCTGGGATTCTGGAATGCCAGGCTCCAGGGAATTGAGTTCGTCCACGATCACTTACTACTGCTTAGAAGTGCTTACAGGGCTGGGACGCACACCTGAGCATGATTCTCACACGGTGCTATGTGAAGAAGATACCAAAAAGCAGAAAGGGTTTCTCTTCTTGCCATCGATGCACAACTCAGTCACAACTTATGTTTTTGTGAATTCAGGCTTTTTTAAAGAAAGTTCATAAAAATTCCATGCATTTGATGTTAGCATTTTCAAAATCTAACACTCATGTTTCTGAAACAGGAAAATATCGCTTCATTTCTATCTTACAAGAATAAAATAGCATCAGTCAGTCTGGTTTAGGTCAACATCTTTTTGGCCATGTTTTTTTCTTGTTTGTGGCTTAGCCCATGAACAGAAAATTCAGTGTATCCACGAAGTGCTGCTCCCAGTACCCTGGGCATCATCAACTCATCCAGCGTGCCACCTACAGCCATTTTAAAAGCGTAACTTTTTGAGTCTTCAGCAGAAGAATCGCTGCACACCACAAAGCTGACCCCAGGGTCCTCCTTCGCTATGCAATGAATTTGCTCTCTTCTTGCAATCTTCTCCTGCATTCACCATAGAAACTCTTCAGCCAGCGAGGCCACAAGTCTACAGCCAGCAGCCGCCTTCACTAATCAGACACAAAGCACACGCTCCAGAAAGCCAATCTCATTTTTCTGAGGTGGGCTGCATAAAGCATATACACCTAAAACCATGGCAAAACTGAGTCTAGGGATGAAGTTTGTCCAAGATGCTGTAATACACAGTATGGGAAATTCAAATTTCACTGATGACCAAGAGTTTCTGGAATTAGCATTCCCTTTCTATTTTTTTTTTCTTTCCTCAAGTAAAAGATCCCCTCCTCATACACTCCCACTTCAGATTTCTTCTTTATGAAGACATTTTCCTGAAACACTTAGGTCTGTAATGGAGTGATTTACCATTGGTATCATTAGTCACGCAAGCCCTGGGTCACAGGAGATTTGTACACCTGATTTCTGCACAGCTTAATCATGATTCAGCATAACAGGCCAATTTCTCTCAGGCGCCTTCACATGGGCATTAGCCGGTGTGTTCCACCACTCGGTGCTCAAACACTCATAAAAAGCAGTTCCATACAACTGGCTTTTGGGGAACCCGCTACAAATCCTTTCAGGATACACTACAAAAAATTCACTGCAGAACTTGGCACGCTGTGTAAAGTGCTTCAAGGAGGAAAAGCACGGCTGCACGTCTCAATCCTTCTTCTGCATTCCCCCAGAACCTAATTCAACAAGGCACATGCTCAAACTTGGACGCAAGTGCTGTTCTCTTCAGGCTTCCATCTCAAAGAACAGGGCCATCTTTAAATAAATTAGCTAAATAATAATAATGACATTTTAAAAGTCCGTGTACATTCAAATCACACAAAAAGCTCTTCAGCATTAAGGTTGCAAAACTATGCTCTCAAAAAATTAGGAGGTGTCAGAATGAAGATTATTTTTCCAAACTCAATTCAGCCTTCCTGTACATCTGTATAAAATCCTTGGTTAAATAAACATAAAAATACTAGTTTCCCCCTTGTATTCTTCATTTATTCAGCGCACAGTTTCATGCTTCTCAATTAGTGAGCAGCTATTCAATATTTATTTTTCTTTGCAGTGTCTGACCCCATCCTTTATTTATTCTTCTGAACTTAAAATGCTTAGGTTTCCTTTTCTGTACTTTCATCTCATGTCAAGAAACAAATTTATTTCTGCAGCACCCTAATGAGGCATGGGAGTACTAACACTCCGCTTTTACAGACAAGGATCTGAAGCAAGCACCTCCTAATTTTGGATAGCTTGATCTCAAATTGATTTAACAGAGAACTTAGGAATTCTGCAGTTCGGTCTCATGGGTATCAAGCAGGACACCCAGTAAATAGGGAGTGCGCACATGGTGCCTACTCTGCTCCAGGAGATCTCCCTTACAACAGAGGGATCCTACAGCAAAGGCAGGGAGAAGCTTCACTTCTCCAGAGCAGCATCCTGCTCCCTCGCCCATGCGACGATTTTTCCTTTGTCTGCATGGGCACCCCCTCCGGCCTGCTCCCCCAGGCTGTGCTCCACGGGCTGAACAGAAAGCAAAGACCTCCAACACTTGGACCATTATTCACTCCTCGTTCCTATTCCCAGTTCGTCACAACTCTCTCAGAGACACGGTATCAAATCCATCTCTCAGTCCTTTTACTCTCATTTATTCTCAGTCCTTGAGAATTCACTGAGATTGTTCCAGCCTCAGACCTCCAAACTGGATGAATTTCTTCCAGGATATGAGCAGGCACATGTCTGAAACATAATCTCTCTTACTAAAATCTCATGTTTGCCCTAGAGATGGAATATTTACAGAAAAACAGCCCCTCGCCCCAACAAAAGAAGTCTACAATATCAATATTTTCATATGGGAAAACATTTTTCTTAGTCACATTCTCATAAGCAACTGAGCCTTCTTGGATGCAGTTTTACAAAACAGTTCAGTCAGACACACATACGTGGTGACTCAATACAAATCATTAGAGTCCGGCAAAGCTGTGAGCAAGGCAAAGTAGGGTCTTATAATGGGGAAAGAAAAAGGTCACCTTTAACATGTTGGCCATCTTTTAATAAGTGCACGGTAGATGTAAACACTGCAAGACAGTTCTACATAAATACCATGCCGTTTCATATGGTGGTGTAAACACAAATGGTTTTCTGATGTCAAGTCCCAGAAAAAGATTCTTGCTGTTTGCCACTTAACACAGCATCATGTAGATGCACATTGATATAAACCAATAAAATTCTAAAAATAGATTTCACCCACTAAACTTCTGATACATATTTACATGTCAAATTCAGCCTAGAGACATCTTTAGCACTTTCAGAGTATTTCCAAGCTGCTGACAATAACCGATTTATTAATGATAAAGGCGCATGTTAGGATCACATACTCATGGGTTAAGAAAAAGGTGGTGTAGGCAGCTGAAAGATACAAAAAATATTACAGAAGTTCTTATACAAAGACCTGAAAAGCAGCAAGGTGTGAGGAGCTGCGTTTTCCCCGATGTCTTAAATTTTTCTTTGAGAAAAGCAGCAAATTTAAATGTGAAAAAGTGAAAAGATAGACAACGGTGCTAGAGGGAAAAAGGGGGAAAATGCCCAAAACAAAGCCTCAATCTCAAGTCACGTGTATTTTTTTTAATGAAACCATTAAGAGAACCAAATAGAACTGGAATTATGCAGCTTCCTACTATCTTGGAAGGAGGAGAGAGTAAGAGGACAAAGCATCTTCAGATGAATTCTGTCACAAACCCCACGAAAATAATGAAAGAAAAAGAAGTTTATTGCATTTCCACATGTCCTAGAGACCCGTTGCTGCCAGTGTTTCCTCATACCATCCCGTGCAAATTCTTACAGATGACTACCTCCATTTCTGTCACTTCACACCATTATATTTCAGTGTGCAATTCCTCTCTCAAACAAAGCCTTCCTCCTACAGGAATGGGTCCAACAACCTTCACAATATCACCTGTAATAGTTTGCTGTGAATGAGGTTCTCCTTTACTTTGCCACTGTTTAGAATAAAAGGAAGTGGAAGAGTGACAGATTCTGTAAGGAACGAGAACTTTGGAGAAGATCGTTTGTTAAAAGATCTTGTTACCACCTTCACCCTAGAAGTGTACACTTGCACAGCACAAGTAGCGTCTCCATGGCAAGCTTTTATTACAGTCTTGTTAAGAAATCGTGTAATTGATTTGATTGAGATGAATTTGCTGGGAGCCTGACAGCAGATATACTGTTTTCTATTCTCTCATCACGCCTCTCAAATCAGGAGTGGAAGCTCAAAAGACGACTCTGGACCTACCACCCAGTCGCATCCAAGTTATTTTTTGCTGCTCTACTCCACCGTATCACCGCTGGATTTTCAGAAGCCTGTGCATCCTTCCCTTCGGAACACCAGCTTCCCCATGCGCTGCCGCAGTCCTGCTGCTAGGCAACACCCAGCCACTACAGCCAGGTCCTCACCATTTCTG